AGGATAGTCAGATAAACAGGATAGATAGATAGATAGATAGATAGATAGATAGATAGATAGATAGATAGATAGATAGACAGACAGACAGACAGGATAGATAGATAGACAAACAGGATAGATAGATAGGATAGATAGTCAGATAAACAGGATAGATAGATAGACAAACAGGATAGATAGATAGATAGACAAACAGGATAGATAGATAGACAAACAGGATAGATAGATAGACAAACAGGATAGATAGATAGGATAGTCAGATAAACAGGATAGATAGATAGATAAACAGGATAGATAGATAGACAGATAGATAGATACAGATAAACAGATGATAGATAGATAGACAGATGATAGATAGACAGACAGACAGACAGGATAGATAGATAGGATAGTCAGATAAACAGGATAGATAGATAGATAGATAGATAAACAGGATAGATAGATAGATAGATAGACAGATAGATAGATAAACAGATGATAGATAGATAGATAGATAGATATAGACAGACTGATAGATGAGGATGGTAGTGTTCACCTTATGCATGAGCTGCTCATTGTATGTGAGTGTGAGTGAGCTGGTGGAGAGTGAGCTGGTCTGTCCCTCCTCTGTGTCGGTGTCCACTGGAGAGGAGCCGTAAGCGCTGTCAGGATCAGCGGGATCTCCCGGCTCCACCGGCTCCAGGTCCGAAGAGCTCTCCATCACCAGCTCCATGTGTGAGGAGCTCCTCAACAGCAGATCTTTCACAGTCATGGAGAGGAACTCGGCGTCTCTTATCTCGCCCCGTCTCCGATGCGTGACTCGCGCCAGAGACTCTTATAACCCGATGAAGTTTACGCTGATAAATATTTAACAGCAGTGCTTCCTGTGGCGTGCAGTACAGGACGTTGTACAAAACTGTGACAAAACGTCCTGGGTCATTCCTGCGGCGTACAACCTTTTGAACAAGGAAGCTTTTAAAAATGAATTTGCTTTGCGTTGTACCAAGTGGAGGATTGACAGTTACAGTTAAACTTTGCCAGACAACAAATAAACAAGGCATGACTGACTTGATTTCACATCTTTATTGTGCCATCATGTGTGTTGCTGTCCATCAGCCCTAAAATAAGGCTCTGGTTCAGGGTGTCCCGAAATTTGGAGACCCGGTGAGACTGATGATGATGATGAAGGTAAAACAAAAGCTGAAGCAGCATTCTCTCAAACTCTCACTGACAGGTTAAAATAGGACTTTAAATACAAAAATAAGCATTCATTCATTCACTTGTTTCTCTTGATACCACAAAAGCTTCACACGAAGATAACAAGTACACTTTAAAACCTAACGCAACAAAGAAAGAGTTTTCTGATCAGTAAATCAAAACCTGAACGAACCCCTTTGAAACACAGGGGCACTTAAAATCTACTGTAAGGAAGCATGATACGAGTCACATGAAAGCAGCATGTCGCACAAGACACATTTGTTTTGACTTATGCTTCTTAGTGACGTCTTGAAATGAAAGGAGAAATGGACAAATGTGGGTGGTTAAAAAAAATAAAAAGCTGCAACCAGCCATGACACATTTAAATAGAAACTGATCTTTTCCCAGTTCCAACTGTATTTTGTTATTTAAAGGGACAGTTCTCCCAAAAATGTTAATTCTGCCATTATTTACTCAGCCTCATGTTCCAAACCCGAAATACTTTCTTCTGTGGAAGGCAAAAGGAAGCAGAATGTATGTATTTAAAGGTACACTATGTAGGATTTTTGCAGTAAAAAAAAGCCAATGTTATATATTTTGTTTAGTTGATTAATTACAATATCCCAAATGTTTCAAACTATTTGTAAATCGTGAGAAAATTGCGATTTTAACCAAGGAAACGGGGCGTGTGAGCAGGGGTGAGGAGTCGCCAGTCAATGGCGTCATGTCCGCGTTACCCTCGGTTTCCGCCATGTTTGACCTCGCACTGCAATAGTAACCATGGCGACCAACGTTGACAACTGGGTTATGCTTAGCGGGACGCACACGCTGTTGTTGTTTCGTTCAAACATTATGGACCATGGCAAGCAGACTTTGAGACAAAAAGAGGACTAGAACGAAGATCAACATCTTTCGAGATGCCGAGAGCTCCACGTCCGCGACTAACTTTGACTTGACAGAGATTCGCAGAGTGTTGCATGTTACTTTATTAGACAGGTGAGCAAATGTTCATAAAACTAATCAATGTTATGTAGTTCAACATGATGAAATGTTAGAATATGATCTGTATGTTATTCTAATGTTGATCTAGCTTAGTCTCATACAGCCAACAAACAACTAACAACATTCAACACACTCAAATGCCGTTTAGTGTGATAGTGTAACTGTTAGAGCAAGTGAAACAGCCCTACGTTACCTCAAGTTTAATTCCTCTAATAAATTGACCTGTGTGAGTATTAATCCAGCACTTGCGGGTAGTTCGGTACAATGAAATGTCCTGTTCCTTTATATCCGCGGGACTGGCGTCGCGTGTGGCGCTGGTATACGTCTCTCATTAGCAATCGCGCCCTGCTTCACACCACAGTCATGTTAAAAACATCAGTGTATTCACTCATCCATAAAAGATCCATCAGCTTGACGACAAGATCCATAATTCCGCTTAATGTGGAATATACGTCATTAATATACGCCTTTGTTATTGTAAGAGGTTAGCGACCTCTGGTGGCGGAAAATCCTGCATATTGTACCTTTAAGCTGATGTTTTACATCCTGGTGCCGTCAGGCTCCGAAAAAAGACAAGACGACCCCATACAGTTCATATGACTCGTGCACTGTATTTCAAATCTTTCATATAGCCAAAGATTTTCATTCATCTTTGAAACACAGACAAAGATATTTTTTGATGAAACCTCCATTAAAAAGTCAAAAAATTTCACACACTTAAAAAATGTCACTAAGGCATTGCAAAAGTAATCCTTGTGACTTAATCCCAATTTTATAATGCGAATATCTTTACTTCCCCATAGATCTCTGACTGCGCGTTCATGAGAGAGTCATGATGACCTCCTCACGCGTCACGATACTGTCTGGAAGCTTTAGGTCTTCGTTTATTTTTCAAGATCGTGCTCAAGTGTGAGATTCCTGAATACCAGAGCTGAAGGAAATCAGTGAGAGTATGTAAGAGTGCACTTCTCCTGTGAACGATCTATGTAGAAGTGGTTTTGATGTTGGTTGAAATGTACCGTGGTTTCGTTAAAGAGTACCTATTATGCTTTTTCTTTAGTGTGTAAAGTTGCTGTGTGAGCATGAAAAAGGTCTGCAAAGTCCCTCCAGCGAGAGTTATTCTCTATATCAGTGTCACTGTTTCTGAACTCCCTGAAACGCCTCCATTGTAGTCTTGAACAAACACGTCACAAAATATTCCCCATTTAAATAATTCAAGGCAAAGTAAAGGGGCGGGGCCTGGTCGAGTTAGTTAGTAGTGTGTTAAAAACTGGTGGTTATGTTAAGGTGCGGGATATTTCCCAAACATACTCGAAGTGGTTGACCAATCACAACACACTGATCCAGCCGACCAATCAGAGCACAGTGTTTTCAGAAGGAGGGGCTTCATAGAGACAGGAATTAAACAGAGCGTTACTGACAGACCGGGAAGAGAGGAGCTGCAACAATGGAGAATATGAGAAAAAAATGTGTTTTTTGAACATTCAAGCTTGAAAACATTTTCTAGTAGTTTCCCGAAAAAGGGCATAATAGGGCCTCTTTAAAACTGTTCACTTGTGTTTCAAAGATGAACGAAGGTCTTATGGTTTGAAATGACATGAAGGCGAGTAAATATTGACAGCATTTTAATTTTTGGGTGAACTAACCCTTTAATAAATGGCTAACCGTCCATTAAAACTGAAATGAAACCTTGCTTTTGTGCAGGTTCAAAACCATCGAACCATTTTAATGCACATTTTGAAAACCTCAATGAAAATGGGTGGTGTGTGAAAGTTGATGGAAACTTGGATTTTCAGAAAATGTGCTTAAAAAGGTAAAATTTTGCTGGGTTTCCATTCCAATGACACCAAATGCCGTTGTTTCTCGCGTCACGTAACTAAACGTAATGCAGTCGCTTTGAATATGTACATGTGCGAATGCAATTTGGTATATATGGAGTAAGGAGAGATTTTCAGCAAATAACTTGAAATATTGCACACGAGTCATTTTTTTGTTCATTCAACAATGTGAACATTATTTTTAAGGTCTTCTTTTGTGTTCCACAAGAAAGTCCTATAGATTGACATAAGGATGAATGTCATTTTTGGCTGAAATATTCCTTTAAAAAAAAGGGGTACAAAACAGCAGCTAGCGTAACTTAAGACTCCAACCAAGAGCTGATCAACACCAATTGCAGTTCAAGAAATAGAGTGAAAAACTATGCGTAGTTGAGAACCAAACTGGTGGAAGACCAGAATTAAGTGTGAAATACTGTAACAAGACCAGTGAGTGACGGATCACAGACTGATGTTCAGCAGGGTCAGTTCAGGCAGTCTCAAATATTTATATCCACATCTTCGTACTTTGCAATCTGTGTGCGGCTGAGCAAACTTTGTAGTGACAGACGAATCAAGTGCTCCAGATGAGGTGTTTTTCAACTCAAAAGGACATTCAACATAAAGACAAAGTCACAGTATTACAAAACTCAGATTCTGGTTTCCTGACAGACGGCTTTCGCTAGTGTTCATTTTGTTGCTGTATACAATAATTCCATGCAACGCTGCATCTGAAACATGTTAAGTGAGCAATCACATCGATCCATTGGCAGAAATTCATGATGATTCCTACAAGCTCCGCCTCCTCTGCTGAGTTTCAGCCAATCAGAAGGGAGCTCTGCTTTACAGTAAAGTGCACTTCATCAATTTGTTTCTGAAGTTTTGATATTAATGCTTCAAAATAAGCATAGCAATACAGCCAGAGGTTTCCAGCAACCGCTTCAAATACGAATTTTGGCCACTGTTTTACAGAGTAAAATAATGTGCACAGTTCTTATTTTTTTCTTTTTTTTTTTCTTTCTTCTAACAAAGAATAAAAATGTAAAATTGTTGAGATTTGGGTCTTTGTAAAATAACCCACGCCGTAAACTATGTGCTAAGACTCCGAACCTTGTAACAACGTATTTAGGTGACATCTGAACATTGATTTATAAAAGCAAGACTCGTACATATCCACGTCTGGCAGTCTTTTTGTGCAAATTCAAACGTTTTCTCTCATAAATTCACCCTCAACCAGTTTCAAACCCTCGATAGGAGGTGCCTCAACTAGTAATGGGATGGTCTCAAAGACCACGACTCGTAAACATCACTCTTGCGGACTGTTCTTCAGGGCCTTCGCTGCTCTGCTCCATTTATCCGAGCTTGTAAGGCTACCTAATACGACCGCCACTTTTGACTGGCCCCAGTTCTGATTTGGGGTCAGGAGACAAGGAGCTCCAAGAGGTCTTGGTGCAGAGTCCAATGGAGGGACAGGAGGAGGTCTGCTCAGAGCAAATATCTCCAGTGACCCAGAAAGCCCCCACAGAGCTGTCCACCCAGGCCTCCAGCGGCTTCCCCACCAGGGAGGTCTTCTTCTGCGCCTCCTGCAGGGCGGGCTCGCTGGGCGGCAGCTTCAACACGTGGGTGAGCTGCTGGAAGCTTTGCTCCAAGTACACGTTACCTGGAGGACCCGCATGCACCCAGCCATGGTCTTCTGGAGGGAAGGGAATGGAAGGGAGAGATAAGTACATGAATATTCATTTGCATTCAGAATAAAACAGGATGGAATAACCTTGATCATACTCAAGATATACAACATTAGAAGTGAAACCGCACGCGATTTGACAAAGGCTGCGATTATTTTATGCGCAGGTTGCCAGTGCAGCACAGCTGATCGGTAGTAAATGCTGCTCCATCTGAAAGCCAGAGGGCGCTCTCACGCAGACACGCCAAATATGCCCCGCCGCAGAAGTACGATAACGCACATCATTCCATGAAATCCCTATGGGCATCATACTATCGCTGTAGCTTAATAAACAGAAGATTGAAACGCTTTGATCGATTAAACATGACTAATAAACACACGACTGCCTTATTCTGTGTAAGAAGCCACCTCATCTCACAGAAGGATTAGCTCAACTGTCATATGAAGTGAGTTTGGAGTAAAAGCATGTTATTAAATGTTGTCTTTTGTTGGACAAGAGGTTTATAAATGCTTCTCATGTTCGGAAAGATGCTTTTTCAAATGCACATTATACATGACTCAAACTCACAGTGCTTTCAGAAGGAGCAGCATTTACTGCTGATCACAAAGATTTCATGTAAGTTGCAATTAATCGTGCAGCCCTAGTTTTAAATGGTAATAATATTTCACATTAAAGTCTCTCACCTGTGCGCAGGGGCTCACGTCCCTTGAAGGCCAGAGGCATGACCAGAAAGCGAGCTTCTGCCACACGCTCCCACAACCGCAGCACACGCACCGTCCACACTCCAGGCCTGAGGGGGCGCTGTAGGGGCGGCTTGTATTGCGTGAACTCTGCCTCAATGTCTATGCTGATGTCATAGGAGGCTGCAACTATTTGTGCTGGATCAATCCACACAATAGTGGCTGTCAGGTTGGGCCCACGAACCCACTTCTGAACTGCCACCGGCTCATCTAGAGGTCCCATCACACCCCCAAAGTTACGGAAGATCCGCTCCTTTGGATCCCACTCAGTTCCAACCTAGTACAAAACAGCATGAACAAAAAAACACAGTGAAATATAAGACCTACACTATAAATTAGAGAATGTTAGAGAGTTACAGAATGAGTTGCGAATGGTCTCTCATGTTGACTTTGGCAAAGTTGGCATGAAATGGAAATTCACTCTATTTTCTAAATGCATGTTATTGATCTTATCGTGAATGATTCATCCATCAATCAGTTTCATTATTTCAATTGTTTTGACCTTGTAATATTTAATCAATGTCAGAACTGGATCTTCAGTGAAACGACAGACTTCTCTCTGGTGACATATGCAGGACTTCCCCAATAATTCCGTCCGCTTAAACCTGCCCCTTTCTTAAAACTGACCACAAGCTCACATTCAGATCTGCCTCAATCCAATCAACAACCCTTTGTTTCTTTTTCGATAACCCGTTTCACTACAGTATGCCACAATGTAGAAGAAATGATCTGTCGCTTTGAAGTGTGCAAAATCCTGTACACTGCATATGCCTGTTCCTCTCACCTCAAGGTGTTTGAGTCGCTCAAACTCATGAAGGTTGTGTTCCAGCTGCAGTGTTGCTTGAGGAACAGCCCACACCTCCAGCATCTCACGGGACCTGGTCACCGCATTCTGCACCTCCTGCCTGACCAGGTAACCCTGGAATCGGTCATCATAAAAATACAGGTGGACCAAGATGGGGTAGCCAATGGGTTCAAACCTGTGGATAAAAAAAAAAAAAATCAAATGGATGGATGGTGGGATGGGACTGGACTTGAATGGGATGGGACTGGAATGGAATTGGATGGGACTGGAATGAACTAGGAAGGGACTGGACTGGAATGGGATGGGAATGGAGTTGAATGGGACTGAAATGGGACGGGACCCGGCGATTGGTTGGGACTGGAATGGGAATGGAATTGAATGGGACTGGAATGGGACGGGACCCGGCGATTGGTTGGGACTGGAATGGAATTGGATGGGACTGGACTGGACTGGACTAGAATTGGATGGGACTGGAATGGGATTGGATGGGACTGGAATTGGATGAGACTGGACTAGAATTGGATGGGACTGGAATGGAATTGGATGGGATTGGAATGGAATTGGATGAGACTGGTCTGGACTGGAATTGGATGGGACTGGACTGGAATTGGATGGGACTAGAATTGGATGGGACTATGATGGGACTGGACTGGGAATGGAATTGGATGGGACTGGAATTGGATGGGACTGGAATGGAATTGGATGAGACTGGACTGGAATTGGATGAGACTGGACTAGAATTGGATGGGACTGGAATGGAATTGGATGGGATTGGAATGGAATTGGATGAGACTGGTCTGGACTGGAATTGGATGGGACTGGACTGGAATGGAATTGGATAGGACTGGAATGGAATTGGATGGGACTGGAATGGAATTGGATGGGACTGGAATGGAATTGGATGGGACTGGAATGGAATTGGATGAGACTGGAATGGAATTGGATGAGACTGGACTGGAATTGGATGAGACTGGACTGGAATTGGATGGGACTGGAATGGAATTGGATGGGACTGGAATTGGATGAGACTGGAATGGAATTGGATGAGACTGAACTGGAATTGGATGGGACTGGAATGGAATTGGATGAGACTGGAATGGAATTGGATGGGACTGGAATGGAATTGGATGAGACTGGACTGGAATTGGATGGGACTGGAATGGAATTGGATGGGACTGGAATGGAATTGGATGGGACTGGAATGGAATTGGATGGGACTGGAATTGGATGGGACTGGAATTGGATGGGACTGGAATTGGATGGGACTGGAATAGAATTGGATGGGACTGGAATGGAATTGGATGGGACTGGAATGGAATTGGATGGGACTGGAATGGAATTGGATGGGACTGGAATGGAATTGGATGGGACGGGACTGGACTGGGATGGGACTGGAATTGGACGGAACTTGACTGGGATGGGACTGAAATGGACGGATTAAATTGGATTGGACTGTCACCTGCAAGCCTCAGGACTGCTTTGAGTGGTCTCCGGCCTATGGAGGCCCAGTCTAAAGAAGGAGGAGTATGCCGTGAGGGCCACATCATTGAGGGATGAGACCCCATCAGCCTGTTCGAACAGGCTCTCCCAGTATGCTTTCAGTGCCACCGTGCCTGGCGGGTACTGCCCATACAGATGATTGTCCAGGATCTCAATAGCCTCTTGATTCACAGTGGACTCAAACTTACGAGCGAAGAACGTAGGCCGCGTTAGTTGCTGTTGTGGGGGGAAAAAGTGTGGGGTTGAATTGGTGCCAAATGTAAGGACAATTTCTAAGAAAGACACTGGGTCTCGTTCACTAATAATTGTGTGGATAATTTGTAACTTCTCACAAAAAACAACTTTTCCCTAATCCACAACACATGCACACACACACAAATGAATTTGTTCTTAAATTCGTTCTAATAATACATTTAGAGTTTTCTAAATAAGCGACAATGTGCCAGAGGTTAGTAATTTGCATAAAACTCACCCAAACAATCTCCATATAAGGGCTTTCAGCACAATCTTTCCTTTACAGCCTTCCATCACTCTCAGCAAACAAGTAATTTTCTAAAGACGATCTCACAGCGCAGCTTGAGGATCCATCCTCAAAACCACAAAAACTCCTTTTTATACAGACACAGATTACAGACCTATCATTAGCCTGCTGTATATATGTATCTGAAAACTTCATTAGAGTCAAATACCGCCTTGCTTTAGTAGGAAATACTTCTTAGTAAACTTGTAGTCATAATGGTGTCGACATGTATTCAACAATTTAAAGAGTAAACGTTTAGCGGGAGTGAGTTTCTTTCGGTTTCCAGTTTTTTTTATTTTTTATGTGAATGCTGTTTTACATGACTATTATGAGTGAAGCACAAAGCTTTGTTTACAAAAGAAATAATAGGTTAGCAATTAAATGTTACATCGTAGCCATGGAAACATTTGGATTCGTGACGAATGAGAGAGTTGTGCGTGAGCCCATAAATTTAAGCTTTTTCGGCTTTGTATTCTGTTTTGCGATCTGGTCACCCAATTAGTTATTCCACTGGACATGGAATCTCATTTCTTTTCCCAAATCTTCACTCACATCTCAGCCATTTTCGCAGGGGGTTATAAACGTTTCTTCCTTTGGTTCGCTTTTAAGTAAGCCTATTAAATTCGCATTCTTTACTGTGGTAAAGTAGAAAAAACTTTGTAGGAAAGATAGCCTACCTTTTTACTTGCACGTCAAATTCTTTTTAACACAGTTTGTGCTTGTTATTATACTTGGTAAGGCGCGTCAAGTTTCTTTGTAAAGCGCGGTTCACATACGCGGGTGATTTTAGTTTGCTTTCTCTGGCAGTGCAAAATCAAACATAGCTTAAATGCCTTGCCCTTGTGGAAGATAAAATTCACTCTTCAGACCTTTTACAACAAGTAGAAAAGCAGGAAAGCGCAGAGCTTTGGCTATATCACACATCTTTGTGTGGAAATATAAAACAAATAGTTTTTAAATATGTAACTTTATTATATTATTTAAGTTAATATTATTTACTGATATTTATTTAAATGCTTTACAGGCTTTAGTGTGTCGTTTCATTGACGGAAGTGCTCAAAAAACACGCATGTCTGTTACGAAATGGATGTTTGAGCCTCTTTTAGTATTATTATTCTATTTCAAAATGTATTTAATTGAGGTGTATATACAGGTCCTTCTCATAAAATTAGCATATTGTAATAAAGTTCATTATTTTCCATAATGTAATGAAAAAATTAAACTTTCATATATTTTAGATTCATTGCACACCAACTGAAATATTCCAGGTCTTTTATTGTTTTAATACTGATGATTTTGGCATACAGCTCATGAAAACCCAAAATTCCTGTCTAAAAAAATTAGCATATTTCATTCGACCAATAAAAGAAGTGTTTTTAAAGCTGCAGTAGGGAGTTTTGAGAAAACGTTGACTTAGCCTGAAAATTTGAACAAGCACAACTTCCAGGTCCCACCCCCTGCTCTCTGCTGCGCTACAGCCCTCCCTCCACAGCTCGTCCTCCACAGCGGAGCCTGTCGTGAACGCGCAGGCTAGTAAACAGGGCCACCGATAACAGCGGATAAAAAGTTATATGGCACATTCACTAATAGGGACTAAACGTCAATAATATGCTTTACATTGACTATGGCCTGCCCATACTTTGACTACAAACTTGGTCCTCAAATCATTATGTATTTTCCAATAGCCTACATGTAACTTTATAACGTTGCACTCTTTCTATAAGTTATAAATAGCTAGTAAGATAACGTTAATATAAGGGTAACTAACATTACAGTATGTAAGTAATTATTCTAGCGATATATAATGCTAGATAAGGTGTGCTAGTACATTATTTCAGAAAACATGACAAGCCAGTGAATTAGCAGGTTTCAACTGTTGCTTAGCAGAGTGCGTGACATTTTATCTACATGTTATGCGGCTAGAGTTTTGACACCGAGTCAATGGGCTCTGTGTAATTCTTTCTTTTTCGCTTGTTTATCGTCATCAGTCTTTTTCCTTTTACCTCTTTGTTTTATGAGCAGGTGTCACTCGAGAATTGGCAGTTTAGGTTGTTTCTCCGTCATAAGCACAGCTGCAGCTCGCCGGCAATCTTGAGTTTGAACAACGGCTCGCGCTCCGGTGCTCGCGCTGTGCAAGAGAGGGGTGTGATCAGCGCGTACACGAGCGTGACTGACACTGCTGAGATACTCCTCTCGGCTCTGATTGGTTGTTTCTGACCGGGAGCGTGTATTTCTTGCAAATGGCAATAGGACCACTAGGAGGAGCCAGAGGAGCTTGATTTTTACACAGATTATCTGTCTCATATTCTACTGTCAGGACATAATGACAGTTTTAGCAAATACAAGTTTTCAAAAGTTACCTACAGGAGCTTTAATACAAAAAAAAAAAAGTCAACCTTCAAATAATTATGTTCAGTTATGCACTCAATAGTCAATACTTGGTCGGGAATCCTTTTGCAGAAATGATGCTTCAATGCGGCGTGGCATGGAGGCAATCAGCCTGTGGCACTGCTGAGGTGTTATGGAGGCCCAGGATGCTTCGATAGCGGCCTTAAGCTCATCCAGAGTGTTGGGTCTTGCGTCTCTCAACTTTCTCTTCACAATATCCCACATATTCTCTATGGGGTTCAGGTCAGGAGAGCTGGCAGGCCAATTGAGCACAGTAATACCATGGTCAGTAAACCATTTACCAGTGGTTTTGGCACTGTGAGCAGGTGCCAGGTCGTGCTGAAAAATGAAATCTCCATAAAGCTTTTCAGCAGATGGAAGCATGAAGTGCTCCAAAATCTCCTGATAGCTGGCTGCATTGACCCTGCCCTTGATAAAACACAGTGCACCAACACCAGCAGCTGACATGGCACCCCAGACCATCACTGACTGTGGGTACTTGACCCTGGACTTCAGGCATTTTGCCATTTCCTTCTCCCCAGTCTTCCTCCAGACTCTGGCACCTTGATTTCCGAATGACATGCAAAACTGAGCAACAGTCCAGTGCTGCTTCTCTGTAGCCCAGGTCAGGCGCTTCTGCCGCTGTTTCTGGTTCAAAAGTGGCTTGACCTGAGGAATGCGGGACCTGGAGCCCATTTCCTGCACACGCCTGTGCACGGTGGCTTTGGATGTTTCTACTCCAGACTCAGTCCACTGCTTCCGCAGGTCCCCCAAGGTCTGGAATCGGTCCTTCTCCACAATCTTCCTCAGGGTCCGGTCACCTCTTCTCGTTGTGCAGCGTTTTTTGCCACACTTTTTTTCCTTCCCACTGAGGTGCCTTGATACAGCACTCTGGGAACAGCCTATTTGTTCAGAAATTTCTTTCTGTCTTACCCTCTTGCTTGAGGGTGTCAATGATGGCCTTCTGGACAGCAGTCAGGTCGGCAGTCTTACCCATGATTGCGGTTTTGAGTAATGAAACAGGCTGGGAGTTTTTAAAAGCCTCAGGAATCTTTTGCAGGTGTTTAGAGTTAATTAGTTGATTCAGATGATTAGGTTAATAGCTCGTTTAGAGACCCTTTTCATGATATGCTAATTTTTTGAGACAGGAATTTAGGGTTTTCATGAGCTGTATGCCAAAATCATCAGTATTAAAACAATAAAAGACCTGAAATATTTCAGTTGGTGTGCAATGAATCTAAAATATATGAAAGTTTAATTTTTATCATTACATTATGGAAAATAATGAACTTTAACACAATATGCTAATTTTTTTAGAAGGACCTGTATAAATAAACGAGATACGAAATGGCAAAACGCCATCTCGTGCCACAGTTTTTCATTTTTATCATAATGCTGTTTAAAGAGTAGACGTATACTATACAGTTTTTCAGTGATAAACCTTCTCTTACAATAACTCTTCTGTTAATGACACTGTCAATCCACTTGTATGTGGGCAGGATACAAACATGCAGAACAATAATCTGTAGTCTTCACAAAAGCCCTAAAGCTGTCGAAAGTCTTTTCCTGACAAATAAACATGAATTTATCAGTCCAGGTAACATGGAGAACGAGTAAACATTGTTCATTTACATATACTACCAACAATGGGTCAATATATGGAGCAGGTTCAAAATCGACAAAGTTACACTTTGTGACATTTTAGGCACATTATTGTCTGATTTCACCCATAGTATGCTATCAATGAAAACATTTCATGAATCATGAAAACATCTGTACGCAGATTTGCGTGTACACGCGCTTAGTGAACGAGACCCACTGTGATCCTTTAAATACTGCGTGGCGTAATATATCTGAAGGGAACATTTATCAGTTCGCAGACCTGTATTCTGATGAGTTCTGAGGGTTTGAAGTCATTGGGCGAACAGCCACACCAGTCCACTATGTGCTTATACTGGCACTTGCAGCCCAACTTCCGGTTCCAGTTGGTCACACGCAGGTTATTGTCAACCAAAGTGTCACACATGTGGCTGTTTCCCAGCACTGTGTGAAAGAAAGACTGAAAACCAGACACAGAGGAATTATATAATATACCCTCAGGGACACAGCGCTTAATGTTTACTGCTCACTGCCGTACCAATTAAATTAAAATAAGGTGGATTATCACATCAACAACAGTCTTATGAATTTATGATTCAGATTTAATACACAATAACAGTGGCCAGATGTGCAGGATATGATACAACTTGCTTCTTGCAAAACAACAACAAAAAAACAAACAAGTTTTTGGTACTGTACTTAAGGCAAGACACTACAGACAAAAAAAGTGTTTTTCATGCATCTGTCAATTTTGAGATTTTGGGCTTTTTGGCTTTAAAGTGTTTTTTTGTTGTTGTTTTTCCTCAGAATAGTGGAAAGAAAACATCCAAAACACACATTTAACTATCTTTTAGAGCACTTTATCTATTTGCGTCTGTTCAAATCTCCACTTCAGTAGCAGTTACATACACCAAACTTAACAGTTTTATTCTGATCTATATTCTCAAGGTTTTTACAGAGGGGTTTGTTAATATACAATTGTCCTGATTTTATAAAACATTTTATTCCTAAAACAATTAGAGATATCCAAAATCCCCTCTGTAAAAACCTTTGACTCAAACCTATATGAACCTGACTTCATCCAATGTTCAGATTTTTGTTCTAGAAATGTATGCAAATTAGTGCATATTTAATTAGATAACACCTCATTTGCATATTTAAACAACATTTAAAAAAAAACTTGTAATACAAAAAATGTTTGCAATTATCAATGCAATTAATTAACTGGTGAAGTATGGTGATATATATTTGTTATATTTTTTTACCCTGTTCACCTGGGGTGTGGTGTTTTTTTTAATGTAAATTACTTCTTTTCTGAAATATGAATAGTCCTAACATAGTCTTTTTCTTTTTCTACCATTTTCATTTTCTTTTTGCATAATCATTTCTTTTTACTATGTCCTAAAAAAAAAAACGTTTTTTTTTGTCCAAAAGGCAGTACCTCAGCAGGCAGTAGAGCGTAGGTGTAAAACTGCTTGAGTCCCGTCACCAGCTCGTCCTGCGAGTTCACCACATACTCCACAAACTTCCGCGTGAGGGAGAACCAGTCCGAGCCTCCTGACACCTCCAGCCCCTCAGGGATGCTGCGCTCGCCCAGACGCCACATGTGGTTGTCACATTCGTGGAACAGGCGGTCCAAACCCTGCTTCTTAATGAACCTGCGTGACAGGAGAGAGCAGGATGATGACAGATGTCATCGCAAACACTGTCACGGCTGCATTATTATGCAAGTGAGGCATGTCAAAAGTGTCAAGACGGTATAAATATCTAGAAATCATAATGAATGACAACAGGAGTCTCATTAAAAGGCTAAAATTCGTGAGTAAAAGAAAAAACAACGTTATAAGTAGTTCGGTGCAGACTTTTATTAGCATTTCTCAAGCTATTTGATTGCTTTTTTAATTCTGACCAAATTCAGTGTCATAAAACCAACACACAAACAAACAAACAAACAAACAAACAAACAAACAAACAAACAAACAAACAAACAGGAAATGAATGTCCCAGAGGACCCTTGTAGACTAGTGTGTAAAGGATCAGTAAGTATTTAAAGGTTAGTGCAGACTTTTGCAAAAAACTAAACTTTCATGATTAAAACATTTCATATTTTTAAAAATGTGTACTTAATGTGTAAGGAAGAAGTTATTATTTCATTATACCACTTGTAAATAAATTAGTAAGTCTATAAATCAAAATGTAGTGCTTTTATTTTCTTATAACTAATAAATTATTTTCTATAAACTAATTTTAAACCCTTTTCTTTTCATTGTCTCGGACATCAATTTTTTTGAATACTTGCAATAATTGTTGTGGCGATATGCACTACAGTTCAACAGATTGGGTTCAGTGAGATTTTTCTGAAGTCTCTTCTGTGCACCAAGGCTGCATTTATTTGATCGAAAATACAGCAAAAACAGTAATATTGTGAAATATTATCAGTTTAAAATAACCGTTTTCTATTTTAAACCATTGTAAAAATGTAATTTATTCCTGTCTGTGATGGAAAACTGAATTTTCAGTGATGGACAGAAATTAAATTTCAGAAATGAAAATTACGGTACGGTAAATGAAATGTAAACATTTAAATTATGGCTGTAATCATTTGTTTTTAAGACAGATGTAGTCAAACATATATTAAACAATGAAGACACCACTAATAGGTCAAGTAAAACTATAATAAATATGGAATACAATGCATATATTTAGCAAAATAACGTCTGCTCTCTAACGTTTATTTTTCTAGCTGACTATCGAGTTTGTTCATTGAATGGCTTTTCTTATGTAAACGTGACGTTATGTGGCATTGTTTACAAGCCGTTTTATTGACGTCTTTCCCCGGTTGAAATATTGATTGAGCGAAAACACGTGACAGGATTCATTTCGGTTAGTTGTAATGTTTCTTTTACCATACCTTCTGATGTTCACCCATGTTTATTTCATGCTGTAACTAGTACTAAAGAGGAGATGAGATGATCGGTTCGTCGCTTCATATTAAAAGTAACAAAGCTTATGGCAGGCATTGTGGTTTGTTTCAGGCTTTCAAAATCGAGAAATTGATATTGACAATAAGGATTCTGATTTAAAATGCAACAGCAAAATCAGTGCAAGAGTTGGTCAATTTGATTCAACGAATGAATTCATAACTCTGATCCCAAATTTTTTAAATTCACATACTCCCCCACCCATTTTAGAGCCTCACTAGATGCGGACAGTATATCAGAACTGCTAACCCTACCTGGAGTAACCTCAAAGTGGGATCGAAAATGAGCTTACCTTGCGTTCTCTCTGCCGTGAGACTTCAGGAAGTTCTTGTCACGGTTCTGGGAGAGAAAAGCCACAAGCTCATCGTTGGTCCTGTTTTACACCGATAGTGAGAGAGGAGAGAAGAGATAAAAACGAGGGATTATGTCAGAAGCCCAGCGCTGACTGCAGGGTGGCGTGGGTGAAGTCTTCATCTGGAGGGAATTAGCCTCTGCCGATGGGATTTTGGTCGGTATCAACGTCTACATGTGCATCGGGCCACGAACACAGATTTGGCTTATTTAGCTCACTTTAAAAAAAGAAAAAAGCATCAACAGCTGGAGGGGTTGTGAAATTATAAGGCTCTGATGTGTTGGAGAAATCCTCACGAAACAGATTGCAGAGAAAGAGACAGCTTTGCCAGCAACTTTCGCTTGCACACAATGAGAACGGCTCAGACATAAACTCACGAGAAGGCTCCTCGATACACATCTCTCAAATCAGTATCATGAATCCATCTCAGGTTTTTGTTTTCACTGAGCTCATTGCAATGAATTCTGGGATTGCCTTCTCCAGGAAGACAGCACTGAAGGCATCATCCTTTTTATCTTTTGGAATGGCTTCATCCAATTTGGTATCCCCAATCAATTGCAATTGTAACAAATAAATAGGGCTGCACAATTAATCTAACCGTGGTATAGCTTATTGCAATTACCAAATCAAAAGCAGCGATTTAAGGCTTTTCCCCTTTAAAGAAAATCCATAGTTCAGTCATGAAATTCTATCCAAGCTCTTCTAAACCCATTGACGCAGCCAATCAGATGTCCTTCCTAATCCAGCCGGCGTCCGGCAGCGTGATATGAAAACTCTTGTTTTACCCCTCTCCTCCCCAGCTCCACCTGTATAGATCTGCTAGGGGTCTTCTCTAATTTTTCTTGCAGCAGCATGTTTCCTTATCACGCATGTTATTTTAACTAAGCTGAACAAATCCTCATATTTGATCAGCTGCATTATAATAGATCTCATTTACCAAAATCCAGTGTTGTGCCTGAACTCGTTCATATTTTGGGCGAACGTGAACTGAACGTACTGTATTACTGCCTGATGAACGTTACTGTGAAATCGTTCATTCTGGTGTCTGTGAACGCACGCTCTCTCAGTTTAACTTCGTTCAATAGGGCGCCAGATTTCTATAGAGCCTTTCAGGTGAAAACCCGGCTAAAACACGCGTAAACAGGCCTTAATATGTAGCGAAAAAAACACCCAATCTGGCAACACCAGCCACCAGTGTCGCACCCATAGACTGTAAAAAAGGTCCCGCCGCATGCGTCATCAAGGCAAGAAGCAGCATGTAGTCGACAAAGCATCGAGGAGGCGTCGCATCGTATGATCAGTTTTAAGACGAGGTCGGTGAGGATGGGAAAAATCTTACATTTCTGTGCAAACTTTGCCCGCCGATAAAATAATTGCTGTCTGTGGTTGTACATGGGTTGTGGCAATAATAATAAAAAAAAAAATAGCTGGCAGCAACATATGGAAAAAAAGAACTGAACTAGTTCATTTTTTGGAACCGTGAACTTAGTTCAAAATTGTTAAGTATGAACTATGAACTGAACTAGTTAATTTTCAAATTTGTGAACTGAACTTTGAACTAGTTCATGTAGAAAGTGAACTTTCCCAACACTGCCAAAATCAAGCATATGTACAATGCATGCCCCAATAAATGCTGGTTACAGAGTTGTCATGCCCTGAGGCATGCCCAATCCTGTTCCTGGAAATCTACCTACCTGCAAAGTTCAGATCCACCCCTGATCGAACACACCTGCCTCTAATTATCAAGTGCTCCAGGAGATCTTAATTAGCTGGTTCAGTTGTGTTTGATCAGGATTGGAGCTTAACTTTGCAGGAAGGTATATCTCCAGGAACAGGATTGGGCACCCCCCGACCTAAGGCAATGCTGACCTGGTGGGGAAGTCGGTGGCACTGAGGTTGATGAAGAAGTCCCACTTCCAGTCCAACATGGACAGCAGATCATGCATGCTGCGCAGGTAGGCCTTCAGCAGACTGGCCCCGCCCCAGATGGTGACCATCCGCCAGGGCGTGGCTCTCACGTTGGAGTAGAGCTCCGCCATCTGAAGCACTTCCCGATGCATGTAGTTTGAACGCTGTAAGGGACAAAATAACTGTGTCCAATGATCTTGACGATGAGTGTATATGATGAAAATGTTCAGCAAACATGACACTGCAAGCAGTGCAGTTTTAGCTGTCATGATTCTTCTGCTTTCGGGTGAGGGAAGATTTCTTGGCAGGAGTTTAGTTTAGCTCTGAAGAACTTTACTTTCAAACGAGACAGGCATGTAGAGAGGAAGAGACAGAGCAGATGTTGTGCCAAATCGTTTCAAGGTGTGAAGTATTCCGCCAGTAAAAGCCCTGGTTTACCACAAGTTCTGACAAACCTCAGCTCTACACACACCTTTTTTCTCCAGAATGTGAGCTGACGGCCACCGAGTGTCTCGACACTCAAGTTTCAATCAAGAATCAAACCCACTTTGTCTTTAAGAGCACTAAAGCTTTTGGCGTGGAACGGAGACATACCCATTTGATGTCTGAGTTTGGTTCTTTTGGGGTCACACACTCCTGACTGTTTGAACTCTGGTGTGGTTTGCAGTTAGTCTGAAACTAGTAATGCATCAGAATCAAAAAGCAACCAAAAATTGTGGACCGGCGGAGCCAAAAACGGAAACCAATGCTTATTTTAAAATGGTCTTTGTGTGAAATAATTGTTTAATATAAATGATTACACAACCTCTCTTTAATTGGGGTTACTTCACAATAGGTCTTATTCACATCAGCGCCATCTTGATTTCACACAGGAATGAAAGCGAGGCTGTGAGGGATAGACATACATCTCTTCAGTGGATTGTACTGTTTTTTGGATTGTTCTGCTGATGAAACACTGCAAAAATATCTTTCAGAGAAATTTCAGAATACAAAAAAACCCCAGACAACATGAGCTGTGCAAAATAAGTGATCTGGAGCTTTATAAAGCTTTTTACAGCGGATGCCATTGAAAAAACAGTAAGTCTATCCCTCACAGCCTCACTTTCATTCCTGTCATGGCGCTGCTCTGAATAAAGTCTATAACATACAGGGTCCAACCATTTTAAAATATTGTTTAGCCTAAATTTACAGATAACTGCATAGAAAAAAATAAACATTTAAAATGACGCAATAAATTACACTTGTTCTTGACTTAGGATGCGGTCACATTAGCAAAACTTTGGCTAAATTTAGCATGCAAAAAAAGGTAAACAGTGTAGCCATGTATGAAGCCACTCTCAAACCAAGCAGCTTTCGAACGGTCAACGTGGCGAAACCGCGTGAACAACTTGAAAACGTTGCGAAATTTGTGTGGGAAAAATCTTTCGCCCTCACGCGAAATTCCCAATAGTGTGGATTTCTATCGAATTTTGCAGAACAACGGTAAATGTGACTGCAGCTTTACTCAATGAACCGCACATCGTTACTTTCGTCATGTCCAACTCAAACCGAGACCCATTTTTTTAAATTGCATTTATTGTTCCCGGGGCTGTTCTTAGATCCATATAAATTCTGAGCAAAATTTAGTTTTCATACCATTTCAATTTGTGAAAAATCCTGTTGGGTTCTTACTTACCTTATCCACATGGATGTAGTAAAAGTGGTCTTTGTGATAGATGGCTTTTAGGAGCCGTTTCAACTGTCGGACTGCTCGTCCATGAACCACCAGCACGAAAACCACCCTGACCGGGTTCTCCACCTTGGAGAAGTCAGTGTCAGAAAAATCTGCATGCTGGATGGCACTGGAGATCACTGAAGATGGAGAGAGAGAAAACAAACAAACTATACATGTCAACTCAAGTCAAGCCACCTTTATTTATATAGTGCTTTTTACAAGATTGTTTTAAAGCTGATTTACAGTGATAAAAGGAGATTAAAGCAACAACGATTGTACAGCAGCTCTAGAAGAAAGTCATTACCCAGTTTAAAGGGTAACTAAACACTAAACCAACTTTTTTTAATTAATGATCTGTAAGACTGGGGCTTTATTAGTGCTGTTCATTGATTCGAGTAACTTTTTTGACATTTGGGTATAAAGTGTTTTAATTCTACAATATATGGTGTAAAAACGTCTGAGTGCTGCCCTCTTCAGGTTGAACGGTGGCTACTGCAGTTGAATTTTCCTATTGGATGTTTGCGGTAGTTCGTGACGGTAGCGGTGAGAGCTGACGTAAGCAGGTTTCAGCTCACCACACCCTTGGTACGAGCTACCACACCCATGGCAGTATAAAAACCATCGTGTTTCGTCAAAACCACTGTAGCGAGTCAGGAGTTGGAATTGCGAGTATTGAAAACGATCAGGATAGAGTATCCGTTCATCCCCTCTATCTCCGCTGGGCTCCGCCCACTTTTCCAGCATTTTTAAAATATTGCCAGTGGGTGGAGTCAGGCTCTGACCAGGGGTTTAGTTACCCTTTAAGTAAGAATTTCATGCCAATTAAAGGAATAGTTCACTTTACAATGAAAATTTCTGAAATGTACTCACCCTCAAGTCGTTTCAAACCTGTATGAATTGCTTTCTTCTGCTGAACACAAAAGAAGATATTTTGAAGAATGTCAGTAACCAAACAGTTGATGGACCCCATTGACTTCCATAGTATTTTCGTCAATGGAGTCCATCAACTGTTTGGTTACCGACATTCTTCAAAATATCTTCTTTTGTGTTCAGCAAAAATAAATAAATTCATACAAACAACTTGAGGGTGAGTAAATGATGACAGAATTTTCATTTTGAAGTAAACTTTTCCATTAAAACTTTCAGACATGACTGGATGTAGATATATGACGGATGAAAGAGTGCAGTTACCATGCTGTGGGCAAAACTGAGGCAGAGACTGAGGCATGAGCTGTCCTGCTTGGTGCTGGCAGACGATGTTGGCGATCTCCTGTCTGCACTGTCGTGAACCAGCACGTTGGAGGGCAGACAGGGCGTCCTTGCCCGAGATCTCACATTTGGGCACAAAGTCACTGCTCGGGGCTTGAGGAGCACCCTCGACGCTGCCCGGCTCTCCAGGTGCCACTAGATGGATTTTGGCCATTTCCCCTCGCTGAGTCTCGCTGAAGTTACGGCTGCTTGAGGGATCGTAATGGGCAACTTTTTCAACCGCCACTCCATCTTCCAGCCCGCCAAGGCTCTTGTCCTTCAACGAGGGCTTGCTCCTCCGTCTAGACACCCTCCTGATGATGGTGGTCACGGCGGGCCGATCCTGACGCTGCCTCCACTGGACGTGTTTCGCCCCGGACAGGGCATTTTGCCTGTCAAAGGCCACATGGTCCATTTTCTGCTCCTCCCCATTGTGGTCGGGCAACTTCGACCGCCTGTGCTTCCGCTGAGAAGGAAACAAATCAGTACATAAATCAGAGATTTAATACCAAATCCCTCCAATGCGCATGAGAGAAAACAGCATCAAATCTGGTTTAGAACAGACAAGATGATTTACTCTCCGAGAACAAACTTGCTGACGTTTCAGGGAGCGCAGAGGCACAACATGTTTGCTTGATTTCCCATTTGTTGTTGTTTCCCTGTGTCTAGTCATGGCTATTTTTAGCATCGTTTAGTGGCGGGAAGCAGAGATTCATAATGAGGATAGTGACTCACAGCTCGGCCAACGCAGAAAAACACTCAGTGCCATTATCACAAACAGCATCTAGATCCACAGGGGTGCAAGGCTGAATCTCACAAAACCTGCCAAGACCATGTTTATTAAAAAAAAAATTACGAAATTGGTAACACTTTACAATAAGGTTTCATTTGTTAACTACATTAACTAACAATAAACACTTCCACATTTACTATTATCAGGCCTTCCCGCTTGGGTCTCTCCAGTGCTGGAAAGCTTTTCCAGTATTAACACGAGTCTTAAAGATCTTGCCTGATCATAACCCTTCTTATCCAGTGAAATTCCTCTGACCTTCTCCTCATTGGTAATCTCAGCTTTATCATTCTACAGTCTTTCTACAAATGTCCCACTTGCTCTCCTCAATGAGCCCCCTACTGCTGATTGGCTGCAAGAGTGTTGTGGTGCTCGGCCTGATCGGACCTCAGACGTCTGGCAAATACTCACAAAATTGTTATTTATGTCAGATTCATATCAGCCATCAAAAGAATTATATTGGTCGACCACTAGCTTCCAATGTTGCAAAATGAAAAACATATGCAAACAAACTAAAACAATCTAGTCCGGTGCTAAGAATAAAAGCAAGCCACAATGCCGCATGGCATGCCAATGTGGTGCTGGAAGTATGTAATGGGAGAGAGAGAAATAACAAGCAATTCCCACCACTTCCTGCTTTAGGATCATTACATAGCAAGTCTGGGTCTATGCCACATGCTGCCCACAGAAAACAATGGATTGTGGGCCAGCACCAGTGTCAGACGGTACAGCACCAGTGGGCCTCGTTCTCTGGAATCGTTTGGACTTTTAAGCGCAGGCGTTTCGAAGTGAACCAACAGCTTTGTTTCAAAACATGAGTTGGCAAAGACTTGTTACCAAAGCTGAAAGCTGTTTCACAAGGACAGCAGCTTTGTATGTGTTCTTTGTTTAGGTGATCCCAGAATACAATGTAGTCAGCTCAGGGAAATGCATCTTTGAACACAGTATATCAATTATGTATGCATGTTTGTATGTATCTACAGTCAAACTAAAATGTATTCAGACACCTTCAACATTTCTCACATTTTCACAGTTTATTCGCTATAGTTTAGAAAATGGTAATATATTATGACAAGAACTCAGAGTTATCAAATCAGTTGATATTTCACTGGTTTTGTCCCTCCTTCTGTTAGACTGTCTCACAAATGAATTAGGTTGAATAGCTGCCAGTTGTTAAATTTAAGTACACAATTAGATAATACCAATTTATGTCAAACAATTACCAGGCAATGCTTTAATTTTGTTCAGTCTGTGGTCTAAAAAGGTTGCATTAGCAAATAAAGAAAAAACACTTCAGCAAAACCTGGACAGGTCAAAGTGTCTGAATACATTTTACTGGTGGTCACTGTATGAAGGATTGTTGGGTATAATGTCACAGTATAAATGAACTATAGTGTCCTGCACCCACTAGTAAAAATATATTAAAAAAAAATCTAATCTGGTATAATAATAATTTAATCATTTTTGGTTTGACTGAATGTATGCATGTATCTGACATTTTAATTATGCATGATATTAATATAATTCGTTCAAATTTAGAAAAGTATTATAAAAAATAATGTAATATATTTGTAATTGACGATTTTACCAATATATGCATGTGCTGTGTAGAATATTGGGCTGTTAGATTAGCAATGTTGGTATAAAGCTTGTGTTATGTATTTTATACCCAGAAGATTGCACAAGACTTAGGCCTACAGCAAAAAGGGCAACATTAAACAACACCCTCTTATAGCTAACAGTCAGATGACAGCTGTCCCCACACGGCCTCTCACCAAAGTTGATTTCATAACCTTAAAATCAACAAACAAAACAGGAATGTTTGAGTCGTTGACAAATGCGCCTACACTGGGTGCAACCTACACGTTAAGTATTGAGGTTGGAACAAAGAAATAAATCTTATTCAGAGCCAAGAAGCAAATGACTTGCAAATGGCAAATCAAGCAAAATGATCAGACAGTTAAATCAGTGAATTCATATGACAGTAAATTTGAAAGTTAATTAGGCCTAATGAATGCATTTTTATTTGTTTAGCATTTGCATTTAATACACAACCATGGCCATATTTTGGATTGGATTTATCACTGAGGTCTTTATTTCTGATTGTAATTACCCGTTTTGCTGAAATCTGAAAATATCATCATTTGGCAACAGTCTAAGGGTCGTAAATGCAACGAAAATAAGAACTATTTCTCGAAAGTACTAATCGAATTGTTAAACGAGTCCTTAAGGAAGCTGAACTGTTTAAGAGAAATCTGAATCGTTAACTTCCTTTAAGCAGCACAGGTCACAGCAACATCACATGACCTGCAGTATTTGATTCTTCCAGTCATCTTAGAGACCAAAGGCTGCAAACTCAATGGCCTCTTTCATCACACTGAGACTCGCCACAGAGAGAGACAGAGGTCAAAGAAGCCTGTGGATGTGCTGTGCTTGGAATAAGGAGAACTTCTTGTGTAGGGATCAGTTAGGACGGTTGACTCGTCATCAAACAATCAGTTAGTCGGCTAGTGCGTAAAGGTTCTTCATTACTTTTTAGCGGTGGGGCTGAATATAGAGTCATTCAGAGGGGATTTCAGCATGCTAATGGTCAATAAGTTCACACAAAACTGCAATTTGCTAACAAAGCGGCAATAAGTCTTTCAGCGACATTTGGTGAATTAGTTCATTTTTAAGAGAGCAACAAAAAAAACGTAACATTCCCCAACAATGCCACCGATGTTTATTTTAAAAACTGGCTATTTTGCACCTCCTGTTCAAGGAAAACATGGCAAATGTGCCTATAAAACCTAATAATTCTGTAAAGTCTAAAATACTTTGTTTTACACATGCGCTATGTGTACAGTACGCGTGACAGATTTCCTTATCAACATAGTATGCATGCACATAATGTATGCATGCAACTAGGGCTGCCCCCTCATAGTAGACTAAACCAGTGGTTCTCAAAGTGGGGTCCGCAGACCCCTAATGGTCCGTGAACTACAGCCAGGGGGTCCGCAAAATAGTTTATATAACAGCCTACCGTTTTTTCCGGACTATGTCGTGTTTTCTTTATCATCTGAAAACATGCTATTTATTCCAAAGTGACTTATGTAATGCATTTAACGTCAAATAATACAAAGTAGACACTTAAAGGTGCATTGCGCAACTTTTCATGTTAAAAATTCCTGTTTTTCTATCCTATACATGCTTAAAGAACTGCCTGATGGGCTGAATGAGCCCTTCTCTGCGCAATGAGATTGCCTCTATAATCATGTACAGTAAAATATAGAAGAGAGATTCGGGCTCGAATTTGAGACTGGGCGTGACGTCATGCGCGTTCACGCTCACCAGGCTATGTCTCGCAGGCAGGTTTGTGTATTCGCCGGCACCGCCATTCTCCGCATTAAAGCTAGAAGATGGATTAAAAGAGACCAGCTTGTAGTCCATTCCAAACCCCAACTCCACATAAAGTAAAGAAAAGAAAAAAAAATTCTAGTGCCACCAAAAGGTCCAAGTTGGAGTCAGACAGGCGTCGGAGTAAGACGAGAGTCAACCTCGGGAAGGCATTCAACAAATGGAGAGATCTCCGGTCTGCTCTTGGTCTCAAACGGGATCCTCAGTTGGCTTTTTTCTTGATAAAACGGTAAGATATAGCCCAGTCTCTAATGTTTGATACGGCCAATCTATGTATGACAACAAATGAGGATGCGTAAAATGTGTAATGCTTTAGCGTGTCGTCCATGAGCATGCACAACTCTGGTTGCAGTTTCGCTTATCGCCAGAGGGGGCGTAGTTCTGCAAAAACTCAGAGACTTGCGTTTTGCACCTTTAAAGGTTTCTATAGATAGATAATCTGTAGGCCTATGTCTGGGCGTCAAGTAGACTATTCGCTGTGTTTTGGTTAATTTTTGGGGCACGTGCGCCAGAAAGGAGACAGAGACGGCATGAACCCGCATCCGGTTGTTTTCTTTATTTTTAAAAGGCATGACATTTTGTAGTCATTTATAATGTAGCCTATACACAAATAAAAAAATCGACACTTTACCGTTTTGAATGATGTACTCTTGTCTTATCTGTATGACCATAAATAAGAGTATTCCTTTGTTTCCACTGCTGAGGAAAAAATCCCAAGTAATCGCGCCGGCGTCTCGCGTACGCGCACAATCTGTCAGTTGAAGTTCTAGCACTGCTAGATTTGACATTAGAAGCCTGATCATTGTCAAAATAAAAGTGCATAGGGACAGGGCCGTACCCACAATTGAGGTCCCCGATGTCCGGACCTCTGTAATTTTTCTGTGTGTATATAATGAAAGTTGTGAAATAATTGGATCTTTCCGAATTTTAGAGAAGTCCCGCCCTCTCCAATTGTTTTAAAAATGCACATGCGCAACACTCTATTTGCTCCCGAGAGGGAACGCCTATTAAACTTTTACTAGCAGTGATTTTAAATGGATTTCTCCAAATAGCATGACAAACTTTACCTGTCTAGTAGAATCTTCGCGACTGCGGCATCAGTGGGAAGCCCAACCTGTGCTTTTAGCGCACGCCAGAGTGTGAAATATTCACCCAAAATCACTTATGTTGACAGAAGCTGCAAGCCGAGCGCGAATTCTCGTACGACGCTTCAGTTAACGGTCATAAAGTGCGAGATAAGATGTAGGCCTAAATAGCTAAACTAAACAGCTGTTTTAGAT